CTTCCTAGCATTCCATTATCAACATCTTGATCTTCATCAGTATATTACCCTTCATATAACAAATTTGACAAAACGGTATGAAAATTGTGGTGTGGAGCACAGAGATCGCCCGCCTCGGTTCGTGCGTCGAACGAAAAATCACACCTTTCTCGGATTTAGTCGGAACTGAACCTACGTGTTCGCACGATCAGTCGCTTACGTGAAAAGGTGATTACAATCACTAGGTTAGGAAAGTTTGTGCGAAGTTCCAATCGGCTCCACTGTGAGACCAGCCTGTTGACGCCCAAGAAGCTTCATTTTCTTGTTGTTTCCGGCTGGCCAAGTTTCGCCTCGGGAGGCCCTGTTTAAATCGCTGAGGGCCCGATTGTTTTTATTTTGGCAAGCGATAACGCCGGTATCTTCGGCCTTTGCACGGGAGTAAATTAGTCTCTCGCTTGCCTGGGTCAGCACAAGACGCACCGTTTACCGAATCGATTATCGAACCTAATATCGATTTTCTTTGGACCTTCACCATCGATTTCTTATATTCAACACCTTGTCGTCACATCACCTACCTTACGGACTACGTCACTGTATCGTCATCCGGCTCTACAGGCACCTTCGTCGGCGTGGAACCCAGCAGGAACCTCCAGCTCCACACCGCTTATTTTGATTGCTTAGAAAAGCGAGGAGACCTCCCACCAAGTACCTTTTTGTTTTGTTGTTTTTTAAAACCCTGGCCAGTAGGTTTGCTTATGAATTATTTTGGATAATTAAAAAAATTTCTTTTACTTTTTGCTTAGTGTAAATAAATTGTAAATATTCAATTTTTACTTTAAAGTATTATCAATCTCCCCTTTCTTTTTCCCAAAACCTCTTAAGTATAATACATAGTTGCCACCTTATTTAAAAGAAAAAAACAAAACAAAATTTAATTGTACCTCTTGAAATGGGTACGGAAGTTTGCAGGGTCAATTAAGATCCGCCCTTCCCCACAACACAGCCTAAGGTTAAAATGAGAACTTTTAACACACAAAAGTAACAAAAGTAAAATCACTTGAACAATTCAAACGCCCACAGTTAGGAGAACCTTTTTTAGCCAAGTTCAACAACGAGAAAAGGGAACTAGAGGACTATTACAAATTCATCTCACGTTATACTTGGGATACATACTACCTTGGGCCAGTGAACAGTTAATTAATACATTTCAAATAGTCGTTTCATACTAATTGCAGTTCATTAAAAATTAGAAGTAAGTTCTTAAAAAATTAATTTCACATGCACATGGTAGCTGAGTCTAAGCAAAACTTTACACACGAAACCATAGACACGCGACAAATGTACAGACAGACAATTATTTTCTTAATTGAAGAAGTAATTGTATCTAATTTAATAACATATCAATCGAAATAGTCTATTAGTAAGCAAGATTAGCCTAAATCTATTCAATAAGTACAAAAGCCTCAGGTTTAGCGTAAAAATATATTTCTGAATTAACCAGATACCATTTGATGATTTTTATCGTACAACTTGAGTACCTTGGATTAGAAAAGATGAGAGTGCAACTGAATTACATTAACATCTTTTTTAACTAGGCCAATCGCCGTGCAAACAAATTTTTGTGCAAATTCGCGCGTGGTACTTTTAAAATAATTGGCGAGCATAGAAATATAGGGCAGAGGTCTGAAAGGAGTTAAATTCAGATCGACCTTAAATTACATTGTGAGAGGATGTTTAAAAGCTCCGATTAAAATCGAAGTTTCAGTTCAAAGTCTGCTGCTTTCAAGGATCGCAACGAAGCTGCCCTGTTAACCATGACCAAGCTGGGCTTAATTAACAGTATTAAAAAACAGTATTATTTTCATTCAATAACAGCAAGCAAATATCTAATTTTAATATTAGTGTAATTGTCAAAATTGATCGATAAGGTCTAAAAACATTTTCTCTCCTTCGACTCCCAGTTCTTTCTGATAACTGGCTATTTAAGATAATGGCAGTTGGGCAATTGAAGGACTGTACGAAGACTCCACCCAAATCGGATAGACAAAATGTAGAAATCAGATTGCACGAAATGTCGACTTCAAGGCAAAGCGGGAGAAAAATATGTGGAAACGCGTTTGGAGTGAGAACGTCACGCGACTTGCTCTAAAAATTTGGTAATTGGCTATAAAAGTTGTACGCAGAGGCCGGATGTTCCTTTTAAAGAAAAAACCTTGATAAGCCGACTTTTTTAATTCCAATACTTTTTTCATCCGGTATTTCTTCACCTTTAAATGAAATTACTTAACTTATAGGTATAACGTTTGAGATCAAGTTTTATGATAAACGCATTCGGATTGGACTGATCATAATTGCCAAGGAGAATATGCCTTTCAAATTGCTGCAACATGAAAAACAAATGGAGCAACCTTTTCTTGAAACAAAGATTCAACAAATTAATTTTTAAAAGTATAAAATTACACAGCTTTTAAATGTCAAATGTGTGAAGAAATAACTGAAAAACTGAAAGTTACCATGAAATTACTGCTAATAAATAAATTGTTTACGCTTGCATATTGCAATATTTTAATCAAGTATTGAATGAATGTTATTATTTAAATGTTTTTAGACGATTTAGAATTTGAATCGAGACATTTTTACACGATGCATTAGACAAAACGACTCCATTTCACGAAACTCTTAGAAAAATTCTATACAGGAGTCTACATATTTTTTTTTATAAATGCAAAATAAAATGATATAAAATCAAATTTTCAACTGAAAAACACATAAATTTAATCGTTATAAATGTTTTTATTATTATAAATATACAATATTTTTGAAACGATAGAAACACGTAAAAACTGTAGTTATTAAGTTATTAGTTATTACGTTGGGTAGTTACATATCCAGGCAAAAATAACAAAGGTGCAAATAAAAATCAACTGATTACTCTTCAAAGCGCTTTAACTAAACTCTATGAAAAAGTTGCATTAAATATTATAAATTCGTACTTTCAGAGCAAAAGTTGGCGCCACTATTTGACTGTAAATCTCCGAAAGATTGATTAAAAAACAAAAACATACTGGATGTTGAACTTAGAGGATCTTTGATACTCTCTGGCACACAGGACTTCTTTACAAACTAACATATGTTATTTCAAACGTATGTTATTCGACATGTCAGGTCGTACTTGACAGAATTTCAAGTAGAAAATGAATTATCAGATAAACGGTGTAATTATACCTCAGGAGTCAATCCTTGAGCCTTTTTTCCTAATATTTACAAAAAAATATTATGTTATCCTTGCTTGCTGACGATACTGCTCCGCCTCGCCATGGAGAACAGACAAGATAGTAGTAACTACAACTGGCTGTTAAAATATTTCCGTAAATGAAAAATAAAAATTAATATCGTCAAAATTTTATTTACCAAAAGCCGCCCACGGTGCGTCGCAATGTAACAATAGATGATCAAAACATAGAATGGTCTCATATTGTATAGTTAGAAGTATGACTGGACAGAAGATTTACCTCCAAAGAATACATTAACTATGAAATCAAATAAAAAATTAAAAAATGAACTTTATTGTTGGTCTTAAAGTCTTCTTGAATCATTAATTATGTATAACAACATATTTACAGCGGTTCAAGCTTGATAAGGCTATACAAAAATGTAATTACCAAAAATGTGTGCCCATGGAAATACACCAGTATGAAAAATAAATTAAAAAGGAACAATTAAAAATATTGGTGAGTTATAAGGAAAAGATATAATCTAAGGTGGACTTAAAGAAAGGGATGGGGCTCGACGGATAGATTAAAAAAAGGAGTTAACAATTTAAAAAGTTAGTAGTACATCTATTTCCACTACTGATCAAGTGATAAAGTACTATTATTTTAAATCCTGGTAAGACTTGAACTAACTTATGCGATTCCCTCGTTGAATTTTACCTGAGACTTAAATAGTAAAAGTCGTAGATAATGCCAAATAAATTTTAGGGTTGCTGACTACGTAATGAAAGCAATATCCCATAATGAAATCAAAAACATTATACATAAAACAGACAACTCCTTTTTGTAGATGGTGCAAAGCGAAAAAGCAGATGTACACAATTTATTTAAAACTCACAATAATTAAAAATAGTATGAGTAAGTTTTGATTATATGTATTTATTAATGTTAATTTTTGGTCAATTAAAAAACACATTAATTTTATTTATGCTTTATTTATGTAAATCTAAGTGAGAGGTGAAGTGAAAAGCTGGAACTCCAAAAAAAAATTATAAATAGTAAAGGAACTCTCAACACGACACCCAATAATGACACATCTTCACAGACAACAAACACTTTGAGCTCTGAAGATGATCTCAATAAAGATCGAAACGTTGGCACGATAAAGAAAACGTTTTTCTAAAACCTACGTCACACCAGACCGCATCTCACGATCTCATATAATCATTAACTAACGGTCACTAAGCACCACACATAGTAAATTTACTTAAAATAAAATTATTTCTTTATTCGTGAATCCTTCTAAATTTTAGACACAATCAAACATTTTTTAAAACAAATACAACCAATTATTCAAGACAAAAGTTTGTGTTTGTTACGTACGTCAAGAAATAATTCCAAATATTTGTTATTGCACCGTGTTAATTGTTTAAATTAGAAAACAAAATTGTAAGTCATAGTGAAACATGTAAGTATGTTCTTTTATAAGATTTTTTCTTTTGACAATTTGATTTGTATTTCTTGAGGTAACTTCTAGTATAATTGTCAAATATGTTTTTCCAACGTTTTCGTTTAAAATGATTAAAAAAGGTAATTTAATTTATTCCAATACAGGAGGTGCTTTTATATCTTCATTTTATTTAATTAATTTATTTTTTGTTGAAACAGCTTTACACATCATAGTAGAATTTATGAAAGTAATGATATTTAATTATTCAAGAAAGTATTTAATTTGCTGTACAATCCTCCTTTCTTATCTAATCGACATATTTTGTTATATTTTTTATACGCAATAATAAATAAACTTACGTTTTCGCAAGCTGGGTTGAAATGTCTAGAAGCAGTTCGCCAACCGCTGATATGTCTTCGGTTTTCCAATTGTCCCCTTCCGGTACTGTGACTTCTGCGAATAAAAAACAAAAACATATATATTTATTGAACCATTTTAATTGTAATTTGTTATAATAGTAAAATGTACTTTTGTAAGACAAATTTTAGTTCTAAACGTTACGAAAAACTGTGGAGCATGAGGAAATGAAGAGCCAGATTTCACCAAGAGTTTTGTTTATTAGCATTGTCATAGAATAGAGAATTTAAAAGACCTTCGTCGAGATGTAATTGAGTAATCGATTATAAATACAGTAGATAATAATTTAATAGATTAACTTGATCATCACGTGGAATAATAAAATAATTCTGTAATATTAATTATTTTGCCATATTGCTAGTTTGTATTTGTATTATTTTCATTACATTTATTGGTATTATTTTTAATTTGTGATAAAATAAGATTGTTTTTTAAAATGCGTTCCAAATATTGGATAATTGTAATAAGTGTAATGTTTTTTACTTGGACGAAATCCGCCCAATTAATAACAACTTTATGTAAGTACGTAAAGAAATAAACTATAGTCGAATATTATCAACTTCATTAATTCACTATTTTCACTACTTAAGGAGGGAAAACTCATAGGTGAGGTTGAGATAGGAAGTTGATGTCTGAGTGGATCGCGGTCACGATAGCTCAAGTGGAAGAGCAGCGGCGTATCTAGCCGAAGATCGTGGGTTCGAATCCCGCTCGTGCCATTAACTTTTTTTCATCTCGACTAAAAACCTTAATTAAATATAATTATCAACTTCATTGACGCTACCAAAAAAGTTTATATTTACGTTGCTCGGTCATAAAATGTATTGTATTCAATAAATACGAATTTAATCGCCCGCAGGTTGTTTCTTTTGTGTATTTATTGTTTTTATAACTTTAATGGTGGTAGATCTTGTCAACTTGACTAAGCTAAACTCAAAAATTCATTATGTTAAAGCTAATGTTTTTAATATTGTCAATATGTGTTTATTTTTGTTAACCACGTGCATTACCAGCATAAAATTACGCACAATCTGGAATTTGAGAGAACAAAACTTTGGCACACTTAATATGGACGTGCTCAGTAAATGATCGTTAACCAAAAACTATTTAAAAAACTGGTTAAAGAATGCACTACCATTGATCAACGAGAAATTTGTTTGGTTACTAAATGAGAGCTGGGATAATGAAAAATAAATGATTTATTTTATTTTACATTGGGGGCATTGAAATTGAGAGCCTTCTTGTCCGATGAATTATGAGTCTGCCAGAGGTTCTATTTGTCCATAATATAATGNATCAAACCGAAGATCGTGTGTTCGAATCCCGCTCGTGCCATTGACATTTTTATCTCAACTAAAAACCTTAATTACTTAAATACAATATTCTATTTTATTCTATTTTTAACCGTGTCCGAAGTCCTGATGAAATGAATTATTGTCCGTAAGATTGACGACGGCCTTATTCCCTTAGTTTTCTATACAGGCTCTACTGATCTTCAGGAGACTTTACCGGGGCTACGAACTAAGTGTAATGACTAAACCTTGGTATCCTTAGTAATCGTTAATATAATAGGAAATTAGTTAGAATTGGAGATGTTTTTGGTGATTTTTACCTTATTTGTCTCATATTTGGTATGTTTTAAATATAATTTCAGTGCATTACAACTACGTTCAATCGTGTAAAAACGAGAAAAAAAGTTTGTACAAAGTGGCAAGATTGGAGAAAGTGCCCATTGGCAGTACTTCAATGCGACTATATAATGTGTGCATTTAATCAAGACTTGTACTGGAATGGCACCTAGTAGGAATCATGGAATTCATCGTGATGAGATATTATGGATTTGAGGACTTATGGTAGTTGGGAATGTTTTAAGGAAATTTTCTGTGACGGAGCGGTTTATATCTTCGGCAAAACGTATGTTTAGGTCTGTTTGCAACTTTGTTGGACACATGGATCGTCAAGGATCATATCTGAGTATTATGGATTGGGTAGTTTGGCAATATTCGGTTCAGAAAGTAGTTTGTTATTATGATAATGATATGAAACCTTGTTTTCAATATTAGAAATACTAATTAGAAATCACTATTACAGCCCTTGGCAATGTTGGGACTGACTCGGTCTTCAATGAAATTTGAGATCGCCAGTAAAAACTAAAATATGCCAATTTGTAGACATATTTTGCCCTGAAGATGACCTTAAAATAGGTCGAAAGCTTGGCAGTAACAAATGAATTTGCTTTCTTCTTCAAGACCATACCTTGATTCAGTGTTCGTGGGATAAAAACTTGTTGATGAAAGGAGAGAAGTTATCGTTTCTAATGGTCATAATAACATTGAATTTGAATAAAACCAAAAATATTATGAATTATTAAGCGAAACATCGGACGTAGAAGAATCCAGCCCAAAAATGTCTACTTTTTGTTTGTAATGAAAATCCGAATTTAACAAGTTTACAGGATGTTGAAAAAAATCCGAATTAATTTTTTTTTTAATTTTTGGTCTACTTTACTGGACGTTCTTGTAACTTTATATATCTATCGAGTATAAAATGGCAACGACAGATACCGTATGGAAAATCTGGAAATTAATTGATTTTTTCTCGTCTTCTCCGGAAGTATAAAACTATGTCATTTGTATTCCATTAAGCATTTCATTTCGATTTTATATTAACCTATACATTTTTGTGATTAAATATTTCTACTTGGTTTTTAAAATATCTTGTTTCTATATTCAAAAACCATTTACAATCGTTTACAAGTTTCAATTTACTTTCCACACCAAATTCGGTTACTGGCGTTTCAAAACCAATAAAAAAAGAAAAAATAGCAAATTTTAAATACAGGTTTTTAAATATTTTTAATCTTTTCAAAATCCTTGGTAGTCGTTACGATTTATATCAATTTTACTGGGCATCTACAAGATTTGGATCTTTTTTCATATAGAAAGTTTCGATTACATATTTCTCTCGGTCAAGTCCTTAAAAAAAGATTTGAGAAACGACCTAGTCACCCCGTTTAAGCTTTTTAAATCTGAATTGATGTGGCAAGGTGTGCCGAACGGGTTCAAAAAACTATGTACGTCCTTGATTCGAATCAAGGCAAGGCCGTCCTTAGGTGATAGATGCTTGTGTGAAAGCTGTCTCTGGTGATGTCTTGATCACATGGCGATAATTACAGCCTTTTTGCCAAGCTTCACGCCTCGTGGTGGCGTTTGGATTTTATCGATCTTACCTTGGGAATGTTCAATTTGTTTACTGGGATAATTAATCAATTTGTCATTTTCCAAAACAAGGCCACACCTTCTATTAGGCCCTAACAGGGTTTAAAGTCGGTGCTGTTAGTTAGGCATTCAAGATAAATTAATTTACACTTATCATTTTACTGGGTACGTTTTTACTAACTTGTTTCTGCTGTTAAACAAATAGTCGATTTGAAACTTAAGAAAACCTTTAAGACGGACGCATTAAAGTGAAATGTCGATCAGGCCTAAGAAAGTTGTCAAGCACAAAAAGTTAAATGAGTGTTTAAGCAAATCAAAATTTTAAATAAATTGACTGATTATAACCAATGTAAGCATTATAAATATATTGTATGCACATTTTGAACAAATTTATAATTAATTTTTATTGTACATTGTTTTTCACGTGTTAATAATCTTTCTCTAGAACGTTATCATATAATTTCAAAAGTTTGTGTTTCTAATCTTTGCAATATTCAATTTGGCGTAATGAATCGCCCAGCGCCATTTCAAATATTTCTCGCGATAATTGTAAATAATTAGCATAATTATGTCTATTTAAAATGAATGTGAATCCCGCTTGATAATAATGATAGGTGATCAACAATAATTTCCCACCTCCTTTCTTCTTCGGTAACTATGAAAATGCAACTTTTGACAGGTGGTGACTACTATTTAAAGGAATCATTAGGGACAACAAATCACAGCGGTGAGAGATCAAATTATCTGGAATTCCTTCAGGAACACCGCCAATGATTACAGGCGGTTGAACGGCTCGTTCAATTTTCTGGGGTCGTGCAGGAAAGTGAAGGAAAATTGGCTAATCCTTCGCCCTCCTGACTTCACTTTGAGGCTCAATTGGTTATTATTAATGGCCCAGTTAGCGAAATTGATTTAGCGTTTATTATTTCACATTTCACTGCGGGGAACTTTACATGCGACGCACGAGAAACGGGGGAACAGACAGATAACAATAATAAACGAATCGTTATGTGTATATATATATATATATATATANCATATATATTTATATTTATATAAGTTGGAAGTTTATGGGCCGACAAACAGTTGAGGTCATCGCCGGCCCTCTGCATGTTTTCATTCTTTTTCTTTTCTTTCGCTCATATTTTGTTTTAAATTGCAGCCATTTGAACGTCTCGATCTGGTTACTGACTCTCTGATTTCGAATGTATACTACGTTGATATTCTAGAATGCTAGTCTCTCGTTTGTACCTAAGGTTGTCAAATACAGAATAGAAACAAAACATACAGTACATATATATACATTACCACAAACATAGATGTCTGGTCACATTCACTCCCCCAGAGTAGTCGATATTCCTCGGGGCGGGCTTATAAGCAACTCCTTCCTTTCACGCGAATAAATTACTTTTACTCTCCAGACGTCATACACTCACCCCAGAGTACTTGATATTCCTCGGGGCGGGGTTATAAGCAACCTCTTCCTTTCACGCTAATAAATTACATTCATTACAATAAATTAACACAAACACAACACTCGATAGAAACATAGAGTTCTGGTCACATTCACTCCCCCAGAGTACTCGATATTCCTCGGGGAGGGGTTAAATCACCCCTTCCTTTCATGCTAATAAATTACATTCATTCCAATAAGTTAACATAAAGTCAAACACAGACACAACACGTAATGTAAAAACGAATAATAAGGAGGTTAGTTAAAACTAGCGAAAAAATACAAGGAGAATATAATATATATGTACAAATATCCTGGTGTTGCGTGCAACACATTTGTGCTTATGTGTGTGTGCTTATGCGTCA